TGCTTGTTATATGAGTTTTAGTTAAGTCTGTGGTTCATGTTACCGTCCCCGAAGGCCAGTGGATTCAGAGGGTGTATTGTTTGTCTCCTGATCGTGTCTCGTCTGCATGGAGCCCTCAGGGTTTCGGGTCAGAACGCAGGGGAGGTCAGTTTTAGTCCCGTAAGCCTGGCTCCTAGGAGGAGACCAGTTTAAAGTTTGGCATTTATCCTGGTACCATGCCTTGTCTATGTTCCTCTCTACCAATGAGCCTTCCTGTCTCCATCTGAGCTCGCTGCTGGACTCATAGAACTCTGAACCTGAACGCTCTGAGGATTCCTTGAACCCTGGATCTGTCTGTTCCTGTTCGGATCAGAACCCCAGGTGCATTGGGGACACTCTGGACGGCTCTGAGCCGCATCTCGTCTGGCAGTCCATTGGCTGGATCTTGGCTTCCTCCAAAAGGATGGACTGAACTGTTAAACCAGGTAAGTGACTCACTCGAATAATCATCTCCTGTCAGATGATCCTGGTCACTTACCTGTGTTTCTTCCTCCAGAGTGTCAGTGATGGGCAGTGCCCCGCCCCCTCCTGCAGTCACTGCGGGTCGCTTATCCTCAGTAGCCTGCGTCCCATCCTGTTTTATTATTTTCCTGACATTAAATGTTTTGAAACTGCACTGTCCAACTCGCCTTGGGTCCATCTGTCCAGTTTTAAGATAGGTTCATATTATCAACACTAGAAATCCCACAGATACGAGAATTTTCCTCAGCCTCCAGTCCCCCCCGCAGTACTTCACAACTCATGAATACCTTTCCAGATGTAAATGCCCCATTAGCGCAGGGGCTGGAGAACCATTCCACCCCCTTCAGTTTCGGTTTTAGCTCAAGTCTCTCTCTTTGAGACTGTTTTACTTGAGAGCAAGGGGGGGGAATCATATTTGTAATTACATATAACTAGGGGGAAATATAACTCAAGCGATCTCTCCCCTGCTGCAGACATGCAGACAGCATCATGAGACCGAGTAAAGTTGGCAATATATCCACTTATTGGGCTTTTCCAGATTAATAACTCGTCGGCGGATGATTTATTCTACAAAACACACACCTCTCCGCAACCACAGCAAGCCATACAATGAGCTACAATCATAGGTTCCTTTAAACGAGTCTCCTATCACGCTGGGAGAATTACATTGGATCCTATGCAGAGCTCGCTCCTCCGCAAATCCTCCGTCTGCAAAATATTCAGAGAGAAATAATAAAAAGCGTCACCAAGGAGAGGTGGATTATTATCACATTTATTGGATTCAAAAATAATACTTTACTAAGGAATTTCCAAAAGCCTAAATGACAAATGGCACCTCTATTTTATTATTAGAATAAGTATAAAATGAGCAATGACTACACTATAGATCACTGCACTGCCTCCAAACATAGATAACCTCATCTAGTTCACACTACAACTGTTACTTTGGGAAAATGTGCTAAACTCTATTTTTTTTTTTATTTTTCACTGTTATTATAAGTATGTAAAAGCTAATAATCACTTATGACTTAGACAGATTTATTTAGTCATTTTTATACACAAGTGTAAACAAAAGGAAATTTCATTTAGATCAGCTCTAAAGAATTTCATATTTTAAAGTGCAGCCTTGAAAACAGTAATAAATACATAAAAAATAGTAATATAAACATATGACTGAATATTTACAGTTCTAACATTCTTTTTTTCTTTCTTACTTTGGGAAGATAGGCCTAACTGTATCTTTGGAGATTTATTCATTGTTATTATAAGCATATAATAGCCAATAATTGCACTATAGATCATTGTAGTGCCACCAAACTTGTAGCAAACATAGATAACCTCATATAGTTCAGATTACAACTCTTACTTTGGAAAAATGTGCTAAACTCTATTTTCTAGATATTTTTCATAGTTATTCTAAGCAGGCCAGGTGTGCAATCTCTGCAACAGGAACCACAGCACTGAGCGTTGTGTTCACTGCTCAAAGTATACCTGTCACACATGCAGGAAGGACTCACCTTGGGTTTGTAGAAACTGCTAAATGGAACAATTGTAGCTTCATATGTAGAGCTTTTCCTTGGTGAAATAAATGTTTCTGCTATACTGAAATCAGACTGTCTGTCATTCTCTAAGCTGAAATTTTGAATGAGGTGAAAAGGCGAAAACAGACAAAATACAATTATTCTCTATGTTTCTTTCACATAGTGAGCTTTGCAATATAAATGAGTCTGTTGGTGAACGGACAATATAAATAGGCTCTGCCTTGCCTTGTTGGAAAAGCTGGTTATGACCTGTTCTCAGCTCAGGAACTAGGACCCGTATGATATCTGGTTGTTCAATAGGTTTGCCTAAATAAAAGATTTAGATATCACATTTGTTTCAACCTTCATCCAGTCTCCTGTAGAAGGACTGGTCACATCACAGGTTATTAGCGTTACAACAAGGACAGTTAGCAAGGTAGAGTGAATACTCAAACTTAAAGAGGGGAGGGGGGCTTGCAGGAAAACTGGAAATGTCTGGGACTTGTAGTTTTAATCCTTTGTGTGTCATGGTAATTCTTCCTACTCAGAATTACATGAAACTCCTCCCAATTAATCTTTGTTTCTGGCAGTAGCTCCAGAGGATTTATATTATTAACATGTTATAACAAGTTTGTAGGTTTTAGGTTGTTAATGTTGGATTTAATCGTTAATAATCCCTAAAGTCTTAAGGTTTAACTTTTTTACATTACAGCCTGCAAAATACATAAAATATTGGGATGGAATAAAGGTAGGATGATTTCTAGATGCGTTTCAACCTCTTATTTCTCTGTTTTTATCTTTTTTAAACTTCTTAATATTTCAGTTCTCCAGTCACCAGATGCTGTGCTTATCTGTTGGTTCTGTCTGTTAAAACTCAAACCATGGATGTCTAATCTACAGCCTGATCCTGAAACTTCCAGGCTAATCCTGAGTGTTGGAGCATATCCACTCTCAGCTGATTGACTCCCAGAAATTTCTGCTGCAAGGACCCTGGTAGCACGAGAAAAAAAAGCAGGCTATGCAAACTGTGAGACTGGTGAGAAGGATTAGTTTCTTTTCTGTGTGCGCATAACCGACCTCAGCGTGTAATGATGCTGCAGACGCTGTAGATGCACAGCTCTGTGCGAACGTTTCCTGATAGACACGTGTTGAGGTTAGATTTCAGACTGAAAAGTTGCAGAGAATAAAAGAAAAAAAAAAACATTTTCCATGTTTGCTGTATGAAAATGAGAAATCTGACCTACCGGAAAGGAGCTAAAAAAAAAAAGAACCAAGATTCAGAATGAAGCAGTTCAGATTTACAAGTCACAGATAGATATAAATAAAGTTATAGAAATAATATTACATCTAATGTGACGTTTATGTCTTAGAACTCATCCCTCCGTTTTCAGGGCAGCCTTCAACCAGAGGAAGCTCATCTTTGCTTTTATTCAGGATATCTGTGAAGATTCTCAGGCATCCAGGTGATGCTTAAGCTTGAAAACCTTCAGTTTAGGCAACCGGATGTTGTACTGTAGATGTTGCCCATTAACCCTTTGTAAGGGGTTATTATAAAGTGTTACAGCCGGTTTGTCTGACCTGTCCATCTGACCTCCAGCAGTGCGCTCTGATCTCATTGGTCACTGCAAAAATTTGAATCTCAATAAGTCATTTTTTTCTTAAAATAAGTGCATATTTTCTTGGAATAAGGAGGTAAATGAGACACTTTGCCAATAGGACAAGACAAGTAAATAAAATGCAAAAAAAAAAAAAAAGCAATTATGTTGTCTTATTTCAAGTGCATATTATCTAATTATCTTATTTTAAGAGTAAAAATTCTCATTCCATTGGCAAGTCAGTTTATTTACGTGTTCAAATTAAGGGTTAAAGTGACTTAATTTAAGCCATTTTTAATTATTTTTAGGTTGTTTTTGCAGTGACCAGGCTAGGCTTAGCTGGTTTGTCAAAAACAAAATCATGCATGATTCTGTAAATCCTCAGTGAATCTCTCAGCACTCTTTTCCTTTATTCTCTGCTCAGGTGACGTATGTTTGCTGTCAAATAGTCTAGATTGTTTCCAAACCTTTGTTTTTCACCAAAAGGAGGCCCTCCAAGGCTCCAGATCTCTTGGCATCTCTGCAGCGGCTGCCTGGAACGTTCTTCACCTGATGAATTGTTTCTTTGAACAGATACAGACGCTGGTGTTTAGAAACGACTTTATTTCCAGCAACTTTATATTAGATTATGCACAAATACAATAATCAATCACTGCCTGTTCTGGACACGTTTTCAGAGGTTTTTTTTCTCCAAATAATACTGAAATAGAACATCCTCCCTATAATTGAATGAATAAAACCCCAGAAACATCAGAGGGAAAGCTGTACAACAAGGACCTCCTGCAGGCTGCAGACTGGGCTACACATCTATGCTTGAACACAACCAACACATGCAGGATGAGTCCCGATGAAAGCTTTTTCTTCTACAGCTGCCTGCCTGGATCACAGACAAATATACTCCCTTTGCTCTGCATTTCTTCATCTAACATCAAAGTCTGCTTTATCCACAGAAGCGAACAGATAAAACCAGCAAAAACTGTTACACCATGGGCAAAGCACTGACAATATCGCTGAAGGCCATGTTTACAGAAGAGCAAACTTCAGGGATTCCTGAGGTTTATACACCACAGCAACTAAAGCTTCACTTCACTGAATGATTGCAGCGGTCAGTTAAACATCTATAAAAAGTCTACGTTAATATCCCACTGTCAAAACACGGGAAAAAAACTTCTTTTCTTTTGCAGTTCTATGTTATCACATTTTTTAGGACAACTTCATGCAATGCTAGATGAAGTCACAAGATGGTGCGTCTGCAGTGCAACCCCAGCAATCTCTGGGGGGTGGGGGGGTTCACCGGCTTCACCAGGATGAATGCTGATCACCACAGTACCACAACAAGCACCTGCACCAGACAGTTCACTGCTCACGGGGGGCCAAAGGCTCCAAGGCTCCAAGGCACGCTCAGTACGTCGTTTCTTTGATGATGTTGGTGGTGAAGGTATGGTTGCTGGAAATACTGATGGAGTGGCGGGTCAGGGGGTGCAGCTGCCTTCTGGGCGTGTGGCGGCAGGGCAGGAAGAAGTAGCGCAGTGTGGCAAAGAAGACCTGGCGGTACGTCGCTGACACCAGGTTGTAGAGGATGGGGTTGATGGCCGAGCTGACGTAGAACAGCACGTTGGTCAGCATGTAGAAGTAGTGGTAGAAGTCGTACAGGTCGCTGCGTGAAAACGGAGGGAAAAAGGAAGGAAAGGTTAAACGAGCAGCTTATACGGTATTTTATATCCATTCTGTTATGCTAGATTCACATCGGATGCAGCAAGAGCAGCAAAATCGCGTCTGCTGCTTCATTTTTGCTGCTTGTACCAGTTAGTTCTGACGCGCGGCTGAAGCAGCTTTGCTGCTCTGGCTGCGCGGTGCAAAAGTGTGTCTGACGCGCGTTGGGCGGAGCTACCCTACCCTTTCTCTGCCTTGCAGCTATATTTGCTGTGATCAGTGGGAATAAAGTAGTTTTAATATGTTTTTAAGTGAGAAAATACACCTGAAAACGTAATCAGTGCAGTCAGTTCATCCAGATTACCATCCTGCCTTCCAATATTTTTTCTGTCGGAGCCGCTCAGACCCCCACATACCAGCGGTGCGCCGACAGTAGGAATCCCTTCATCAGCAGCCTCTGGCCAGGTCGCCTCCTCACGGTTCAACGCGGCAGCTGGTAGGTGTTTTTCATCGAAATAATCCAAACTGCAGGCAGCAGGATAATAAAAGCGAACATATTCTGCCGGCAGAATATGCGTCGCGTGTGTCAGATGCTTAAACGCGCCCGACGCGCTGCTTCAGCTGCTCAAAAAGCGCTGTGGGACCTTTTGCTGCACCGTGACGCGCGTCAACCGTTGACTTTGCATGTAAACTCGCTGCTTCTGCCACGTCTGCTGCGTCCGGTGTGAACGCAGCATTACATCTACAAGGCTTGGAAGACTTTTTAGGGATTAAACAGTTTCTAGAATGGAAAGAATGCATGCATATCCAAGAATGAAAGGAAAATCCCAAGACAGCTGTGAGCAACTGTAACGCTCCATTATTTTCCAGACTCCTGAAAAAAAGTCCCCGAATAAGTAGAAGAATGTGTTTAGATGCAGCTGCTCTGCGAAGTCTTCAGAGATTTGCAAATCATCTTACGATGGAAATGTTGCTGCACAGCAGCAGACCCATCTAGATATCTGGCATTTCCAGGGGTCGGCAGTCAGTGGCTCCACGGCTCAATGCAGCTCTTTAATGCCCGCTTTGCGGCTCCCTGGAGTCTTTCCAAAAATGTATGAAAATGTAAAAGGATAGATTTTTTGTTTGTTTGAATGTTTTAATATGTTGCAGGAGGTCAATCAAACATTCATTATGTTTCAAATGTTGTAAAAATGTGTGTAATAAATACATTTTAATCAATAAATGTAACATTTCTGTTAATGATGATTAGCATCTTAGCCTGCAGCAGGTTTCAGCGCGGCGCGGCGCCAGGCAGGTGGCTGCTGTTAACAAAGCGTGGGTGTGTCTCCATGGATCCCAAAGGGAAAAAAAGGAAGATAGCTGATGAGAACAGAGGGTTGAAAGAAGAATGGAGCGAATCGTTTACTTTCATCACCAATGAGGAAGGATTGCCTGCATGTTTGCTTTGAATGAGAAGTTGTCACATGATAAAAAGAGTTGTTAGGAAAAGCATTTCAAGGGAAAGGCTACTAAATCTGCAGCCCACCACCAAGCTGGGAGGGAGAGAAAAAGTTTGATTGCAGAACTTCTGGATAGATTAGAGGAGAGCAAAGATAGATTGAAGAAATAGATTGCATCTCCAAACTCCACTACTGCTGCTCATTTGGCTGAAGCATAGAAAACCGATCATAGATCCAACAGGTACTGCTCTGATGCAGGGATGGGAACTTTCTTCCATTTTTATTCCCCCAAATCCTCAAAAGGAAAAAAACACCAAAAATCTGAGTTCATCAATGGAACAAAACCCAAAACATTAATAAATTGTAAAGGAATTTAAACTAAAAGCTGTTAGGAATCCAGTTTGTGTGGGTTGTGCTTTTGTTTGTTTTCTGAGCACCACCAGGCGGCGCCTGGTTCTCGTTGGCCTCCTCACACACCTGAGGATGGTTACCTCATTACCGGAGGACTCTTAAGCTGCTGACTGCCACTACCTCCACGCCAGAGTGTTTGCCAGTTTGGGGTTCTCTAGCTAAGCTGAGTTTAACTGAGTCAATCTGAGTTTTTGTCTACCTGAGTTTAGTCTTGCTGTTTTTGTCTATGCCTCTCAGCAGGAAGTCATCCTGCAAACTGAATGTTTTGGACCTTCTCCCCCCTGGAAGGATTCTCTGAGCATCAAACTGAGCTGAGGATTCAAGCTAGTGGTTTGGATCTATTTTTCCTCCAAGGATTGTTTGGGCGTCTCTCTGAGCAGGAGATTCATCTCCACAAGAAAACTTTCAAGTACCGCAGGAAATCCAAGCGGCAGTCAGCTCCTCCGTTCCTCAAGGAAACACCTCAACCTGGGTAAACCCTGTCCGCCCTCCAACGAGCAAGTCATTCACTGGAACAACCCACACCGACTCGATTCATCGAAAGACACCTTTTTCTGGAAACGTGAGTCCTGTTGTCTTAATTCCCTTCTTCAAATCAAAGACACAAATTTCCCACTGAGCCTGAACTAACCGCAGAATCTTCCCCTTCGCTTATCAGTCCCGGTTCGCCAGTGTTCAGAGCAGCACTGGACTCTTCTCAACCTACTCTAAATAAAACCTGTGAAACTTTTCCCTGGTCTCTCTGTT